ACGTCATTTAGTACATTTTTGGTTTTGGCAGCTTGGCCCCAGGTTCTATTTCGATGGCACAGTCAGTGGCCCGATGAGGGGGGAGGATATTGCATTCCTCCTCACTAAATACTTTGGCTAAGTCTTTATATTCCTTAGGAACCAGGGGCTCACCTGGTGGTGAATCTGAAGTGGTAGCTGCCGGTTCTGGTGGCTGGCTCATGTTGAGAGGCAGGTGCTTGCCAGGGGGAACAGGAGGCAGCGGCTCCACCCAAATTATGATTTTTGGAATCCATCTTCCCACTTAATGGTAGGGACCCACTTGTCTAGCCAAGCCAGACCCAGAATGACAGCTTCTGACATTTTTGGTGCTACTACAAATCAAATAAGTTCACGATGTCTTCCCATCTCTAATCTGACTAGTTCTGTAACTTGGGTGGCTGGTGTCCCCCCAGTCAAGGTTCCACCCACCTAACAAATGGAACAAATGGGTTTTGGGGGAAAGGTTTGTCAAAATGATTAAGGCAATATATTATAAACAAACAGCAAAAATAATGATAAATGGTGATTTGACTGGAAATGTTAATATTAGGAAAGGAACTAGGCAAGGATGCCCTTTGTCACCATTGTTATTTGTATTGACTTTAGAAGTGTTAAACAGAAATATTAGAAGAAATAAGGAAGTAAAGGGCATGGAGATAAAAAAAAAGGGGGAATACAAATTGCAGGCATTTGCAGATGATCTGGCCTTTATACTAGAAGAACCATTAGAAACAGGACCTAAATTGATAGAAAAAAATAGAAGAATATGGGGAAGTTGCAGGATTGAAAATAAATAAGGAGAAAACTGAGATACTAGTGAAGAATGTTACTGAGAAGCAAAAAAAAAAAAAAAGAATTGATGGATAGATTAGATATCCAGGTCACAAAGAAAGTGAAATACTTGGGAATCCAATTAACAGCAAGATGAGGGACACTTAAAGAAGGTAATTATTATAGATTAAAACAACAGATTAAGATAGACCTGGAAAAATGGGAAAATTTACAACTATCACTGATAGGGAGAATAGCGACGATTAAAATGAACAATTCTGATAAAGTTGGGAAAATATTTTGATGATTTAAATAAGATAATTGTCAGCTATGGAATTCATCGCTGCCACATAGCTGGAGAAAGTGGGAGGGGGGTGATGTTAATTGAGTAGCTCTTAGTAGACAAAATATAATTCTTTTGATAGTTCAAGGTTAAAGAGTGTGGCACAGAAAGAATTAGAACTTACTTTGGGATTGGTTCATGTGATGCGATGATGAGGGAAAAGAGGATGGTTTGTAGGTTGGGACATTGTGGGGAAGCCAGGAAACTTTTAGTTTCAGAATTCCACAGAATGTGCCAGGTGCTATTCTAATAAAAGTACTTGGAGATGATGTGTGTCTTGGAGTTACTGACAAGAATGGATTTTCCCTGGAACGCTGACAATATTCCGAAACTATAACAACTTTTAGCACTCCCAAGAGGGGAGCTACCAGGGGTTGCTGAACCCCAAGATTTATTCCAGCAATGGAGCAATCCGAAGAATCAGCAAAGACGGAAGGTGAGACAGAAGGGGCTGGGGGGGGGGACTCCGGAAGATTAATTGCAGCCCCCCTTCGGAGGAGGTGATGCAGGCACTGAAGCATCCAGAGGAGAGAGGAGAGTTAGGAGCTCGGCCCAGATGATCAGACTCATGGGGGAGTTGTCAGACGGGACTGGATAGGCTGCCCAAACATAAATCTTTCTCAAACCCTCTTCCTTTCAAGGGAGACAGACTGGAGGTTTGAGGCCCTAATTGAATCAGAAGCCTCCCAAGACGGCAGCCAATGAATTAGCTTCTGAAGCTGATCGTTAGTAGAATTACCAGAGAAGCTAGAAGAACTTAAGGTGGGGAGTTATGTCTCAAAGCCACAAACTCTCCAGGCAAGCTGGAGCATAACGCAGCCCACTTTTACATTCCCCAGTTTAAGGAGGGAAGGGGATTTCACTCTGGTATCAGTTGGAGATGGCCAGCGAAGCAGCCCAGCCCGGCAGGATTGAATTTCAAGGGAGAGACGGGAGACGCAGACTACAATGGGTATGTTACGAACTCCAAGTTCTCCCCCCCCCAAAACCAGAAAGGAAATTACCCCCTACGGAAAGTATCCCTCCAGGGTGGGGATTTTATCCTGGCCAACGGGGGGTCCAGTGTTAGTGGATGCCAGCGCTGGCAATGCCCTGGGCCCAAAGAGAATCAGTGACCCCTTACCAATAAAGGGATCAGTACAGGCAGCAGATGGCAGCCAGCCCCATTTCCCACACAGGGAATAAGGGAACAACTGGCCTCTTCATGGCAGGCCCTTAACCAACCCGCACTTGGAGCAACCCTGCAGAGGCCTTCCTTCCAGAGACCACCAACCCAGCCAGGCCTCGGAAGACCCTTCCAAAGTGAATACATGCCTCGTCAGGCCCTTTTCAATCCAGCTCAGCCTGCGGTTGCCAGGGCTATACCACCTCCCCACCCCCCAGACCAGACCAGACGCAGTTCAAGGCCACTTTTGACGGACACCATGAACATTTTGCTTATTTCCTCACTCAAATCTTGTCTCACATAGACCAATTTGGAGGCCAATATGCAACAGAACGTGATCTGGTTACTGCAATAACAGATGGAATGAATGAGGGGAATGCTTCCGACTGGGTGGCCCAACTGCACTACAAACAGGCCCCAGAGCTACAGGATGTCAATGCTTTTATCCATTTGTTGAGATTCAGATTTGAAAATCCAGACAGAGTGGCAGAAAATGAGGACAAATTAATGGAAATGAAACAGGGCAAGCGACCCTTATCAGACCTTTTATGGGACTTTAGAAGGGTTGCAAGCTACCTCATGGACTGGCCTGAAAAAATCACCTTGCACTATTTTAAAAACGCCATTGACCCAGAAGTAAAAAAGGCCTGCAACATTAGGGGGATTCCTGAGACATTAAAAGCATGGTATACAACCGCCCTCAAATTAGACTGTGACATCAATCAGCAAAAAAGACCCCTACCTGAAGGCCCTCCTAGGAGAGCTGTGGCCAGACAACTGCAGACCAGACCTGCTGAAGCTGCTCCCACCTGACTCACCAGAATGATAAAGTGTTATTGTTGTGGCCAGGATGGCCATAGAGCAGCTGACTGTCTGGCCCCTGCACCTGTTCCACAAGCTCCACAACCTAGGTCTAATGCAGCCGCCAGGGGTCGAAAAATTCAAGGGAAGCCTCCCAACACTAGCTGCTTTGCTAGACATTGTAGAAGGTCCTCTCCATGCAGAAGGGAGCAACGGACTTCCAACCCAACACACTCTCCCCACAGAAGCCACTGACGAAGAGGACCCTATGGTGAGTGCACCCATCACACCTTTTACTGTCAAATTGAAGTTAGTGGTGCCTGACACAAAGGAGGCAGGAGAGTTAGAAGCTGTCATAGATACCGGATGCTCTAGATGCCTTATTGGCCTCCCCATCATTGAACAATTGGGTATGAAGACAAAACCCCTTAAACACCCAATCAGATTTGAGCAAGTGGATGGAACATTAATTGGGGGGATCCCAGCCACCCAAATGACAGAGTTAATCAAACTGGAGATGGGTGCTCACCACGAACTCATACGGTTTATAGTAGCTCCAAGAATGTCAGAATCTGTCATATTGGGACTTGCTTGGCTAGATAAATGGGCCCCTACAATCAAGTGGGAGGATGGATACCAAAAAATCATAATTGGCATGGGCCCACTGCCCCCACTTCCTCCCACTAAGAAACTACCACCCAACATGGGTCCAGAAACTGTATTCCATGACACCAGCTGAAATGACTGAATTAAGGAAATGCATTGATAACAATTTGGACAGAGGTTTCATTGAACCTGCCAAATTGAGGTTGGCTGCCTCAGTGCTATTCAAAGAAAAGAAAGATGGTGGGTTGAGATTATGTGTTGATTTTAGGGGCGTGAACGCTGTGTGCATCAAAAACATGTACCCTCTCCCCCTCATGAAAGACTTATTAAACCACCTGTCAAAAGGCAAGGTCTTTACCAAGCTAGATCTGCAAGAAGCTTACTACCTAGTCCGCATAAAAGAGGGAGACGAATGGAAAACTGCCTTCAACTGCCCTTTGAGTAGTTTCCAATTCTGGGTCATGCCTTTCAGACTCCAAGGGGTCCCTGCAGTATTTATGCAACTCATCAATGAAGTGTTACATCCACACCTGTACCAGGGGGTCCTCGTCTACCTGACTGACATCCTTATATTCAGCGAAACCATTGAGGAACATGTCAAATTGGTCAGACAAGTGCTGAAAAAACTTTTGGCTGCCAAATTATATGTAAAACTGTCAAAATGCAAATTCCACAAGGAGTCACTGGATTACTTAGGCTACTGAATATCCAACCAGGGAATTGAGATGGACCCTGGAAAAGTGAAAGCCGTGCTGGACTGGCAACCCCCCAAAACACGAAAGCAACTTCAAAGCTTTTTGGGTTTTGCCAATTTCTATAGCCAATTCATTCCTTCTTTTGCTGAGGTTGCCCTCCCTTTGACAGAGTTATTAAAAACGGGGCCTTCACCCACCAAACCGAAGCCCAGTCAATCCCTTGCTTGGACAATGGACTGTCAGAAAGCTTTTGAAACCTTAAAATGCCTCTTTGCAGCTGAGCCCATTCTCCAGCACCCAGATCTGATGAGACATTTATAGTCCAAGCTGATGCTAGTGATGTGGTGGTCACGGCCGTTCTTCTCCAAAAGGACTCTCAGAATCAACTGATGCCTTGTGCTTATGTGTCCAAAAAGCTGACAGACACAGAGCGAAGATGGGCGGTCTGGGAGAAAGAAGCATTTGCAGTACGATGGGCTTTGTTGACTTGGAGGCATTTCCTGGAAGGGGTGAAGGAGCCGTTTGAGGTATGGACTGATCACAAGAACCTCGAGGCTCTAAAGACACCTCGGAAGCTATCACCTAAACAAATCCGCTGGGCTCAATACTTCAAGCGGTTCAACTTCAACATTAAATTATATCCCCAGAGGGAAAAATGTACTGGCGGATGCCCTGTCCAGGAAACCCCAATTTGACAGTCGCCGAGAGGAAATAGTGCAGGCTTTGATATCAGAAGCTCAATCGGCAGGCCAAGTAACCACTCAAGGCCAAGCCAACCGCAACCCCAGACACCTGGAAGACAAATTGACAACAGAGTTGAAATTGACTGATGCCTGGTTTGTGGAGCGACAAACCGAATTAACAATGAACGAGGGACTGGCTTGGAAAAGGACTAAACTTTATGTACCCACAAATCTAAGACTAATGGTACTAAAGCGTAGCCATTACTCGCGGCTGGGGGGACACTTTGGGTTCTTAAAAACCCTACATTTAGTCAGAAGATAGTTCTGGTGGCCAAAAATTAAATCTGACGTTGAGGACTATGTGAAAAGCTGCTCAATTTGTGCCACAATGAAACACAGAACTGGAAAATCCCCTGGCCTCTTCCAACAAGTAGCTGAACCAACACAACTGTGGGAAGAAATCGCAATGGACTTTTTCATAGAATTACCTGAGAGTGGAGGGAATACAATCATTTGGACTGTTATTGACTTATTCTCTAAGCAGGCCCACTTTACAGCCTGTAAAAGACTACCATCTGCAAAACAGCTTGCAAAACAGTTCGTGAAGCATATCTATAGGCTACACGGAGTACCTCGTAGAATAATGTCAGACAGAGGGGTACAGTTAACCACTAACTTCTGGAGGGAGTTTTTAAGGTCTATTGGGTCATCCCAAGGATTATCCTCAGTGTTCCATCCGGCATGCAACAGAGCAGCAGAGAGAACGAATGCCATGGTGGAACAATACATTAGATGCTATGTAAATTATCAACAAGAAAACTGGGCAGAGTTATTACCATTTGCAGAGGTTGCTTATAATATTGCAGTGCATAGCAGCACAGGGTTGACTCCATTCAAAATCAACACTGGCATGGTATTTGTCCCTATGCCAGAATTACCTAGAGAACCCCCCACATCCATGTCTGTAACAGAATGGATGAACTCATTAAAAAAAGGGTTGGGAGGATACAAAAAAAGCTTTGACTGAAGCTGCAAAGGATTACAAAAAGCAAGCAGACAAACATAGATCACTCCAACCACCATTTAAAGTAGGAGACAAAGTATATTTGTCAACAAAATATCTTAGATTGAAACTTCCTAGTAAGAAGTTGGGGCCTAAGTTCTTAGGTCCATTTCCAATATCAAAAATAATCAATCCAGTCACAGTCCAATTGAGTCTTCCCTGGTTATTGGGAAAAATACATCCAGTGTTCCATAGTAGTTTATTAAAACCAGCTGTTACATCAATGATAAGACCAATACCAATCACTCTCCCTAAACCTTTAATCGTACAGGGTGAGACACATTATGAAATCGAGAAAATCCTCGATTCTAGATTACACCAAGGACAGTTACAGTACTTGGTATTATGGAAGGGTTACCCTGTATCAGATGTTACTTGGGTAAAAAGTTGGGATGTACATGCAGATAGATTGGTTAACCAATTCCATGAGGAATTCCCCAACAAACCGAAGGGTCCTCTTGGAGGGGGGAGAGGGGGTTAAGGACATCACAGTAACCCCTGGTTGTGTTTTGTTTCTTATTTTCTTATAGGAGATGAACTTTTCAAGGGGGGACGCCTGTCAGCTATGGAATTCATCGCTGCCACATAGCTGGAGAAAGTGGGAGGGGGGTGATGTTAATTGAGTAGCTCTTAGTAGACAAAATATAATTCTTTTGATAGTTCAAGGTTAAAAAGTGTAGCACAGAAAGAATTAGAACTTACTTTGGGATTGGTTCATGTGATGTGATGATGAGGGAAAAGGGGATGGTTTGTAGGTTGGGACATTGTGGGGAAGCCGGGAAACTTTTAGTTTCGGAATTCCACAGAATGTGCCAGGTGCTATTCTAATAAAAGTACTTTGAGATGATGTGTGTCTTAGAGTTACTGACAGGAATGGATTTTCCCTGGAATGATGACAATAATATTAAAATACATATGGCAAGGGAAGAAAGCAAGGATTAAACTTAAACTGTTACAGGATACAAGATTGAAAGGAGGATTTGGGCTACCCAATTGGGAATTATATTATCAGGCCGTGGTATTGATGTGGATGGAAGAATGGATTGTATTAAGAAACACAAGGCTTTCAACGTTGGAGGGACATGATTTACAATTGGGTTGGCAAGCTTTTTTATGGTGTAAGAAAAATAAGATACATGGTTACTTTCAAAGACATTATGTTAGAGATGCTTTATTGTCAGTATGGGAGAAAATAAGGGAACAACATTATATGAAAATACCAGTCTGGTTCTCAATAATGGAGGCATTTATATATCCAAATGTTTTTAAAATTGGATATATTGTTAGATATAATGATGTTTTAAATGAAAAGGGTGAACTCGAAACAAAGCAACAACTAGATGAACAAGGGATAAATATGAATTGGTATTCATATATGCAAATACATTCTAGATATGAAAAAGATGTTAAAACAGATGGATTTTATAATGAATTGACTGAATTAGATAAAATTTTAACAGGAACGGAAGAAAAAATGATTAAAAAATTGTATGGTTATTTATTAGGAGTGAAATTAGAAGAACAAGTCAAGGAGACGATGATAGCCTGGGGGGGAAATTTTGGCTATGGGATAGACTTGGATAAATGGCAGAAACTATGGGATAGAAACTATAAATGAACAATGTCAACAGCTAAAAAGAAAATTTGTATAAGATGTTTTACAGATGGCATCTTCCCCTGGCAAGACTGGCAAAGATGTTTAAAGACAAATCAGCGAACTGTTGGAAATGTCATCAAATACCTGGATCATATTACCATATGTGGTGGACATGCACAGAAGCTAAAAGATATTGGACAAAAATGCATACATGGTTGGAAAAGATGATAAAACAACATATAGACTTAAAGCCTGAGATATTTTTACTGGGGATCCTACCTGAGAATTATAGTAAAGAAAAAAATGTATTTAATTATACATATATTAACAGCAGCTAGAATTGTATTTGCTCAAATTTGGAAAAATGAAAAGATTCTGGTGGAGGAGGAGGTGATTAAGAAAATATTGGAATGTGCAGAAATGAGTAGATTAACATTGGCAATTAGAGAACAAGAAGAAATGGAGTATTATATGATTTTGGATTTATTTTATAAATGGTTGGAAAATAAAGTAAGAAATTAAATGACATTGTTATAATGATATATAATGCTGAATAGGCTATAATATGAATGTAAACTTAGTAAGAAACGTGTACAAATATTAATATGTGCACAAGATGTATGTACCCAGCTGACACACTGTATAACTGAAAGATGGTTTTATTTTTTGTTATAAAAATAAAAAATTCTTTATAAAAAAAAGGTTCTTTCTACCTGTTCAAATCTAATTGGGTGTTTTAGGGCTCTACTCTTTATCCGTAATTCAACGGTTCAACGTTCAATGATTGGAAGCCCAATTAAACACCAGGTACATCCTGTATCAATTACTGCTTCTTCCTTAAATTTTTTTTTTGAAAAATACGTTATTGAAATTCAAATTATTAAAAAGTTTACAAGAAGTCAAAATATTAAAAAAATTTTTTACAAAGATTTCTCTAATAGAAGATGTGTCAATATCTTTCAGCATCATTTTTTTTGACAGTACAATACATACAATTAATACTTGACAGTTATTCATAATACTAATTCACAGTGCCTTAATAATATTGATAAAAAGTGATTCATGTATATAGGTCATTGGTTTAAAAGAGAAAAATTTGAATGTGGGTTGCGTTAAGCTCCATGTCAGTTGGGGAGGTTGGGACTGTGGGACATAACTTCCCACTTCATGTCGCTCAAAATGCTCTGGGAGCCCTGTCAACGATTGGCTTGGAGACGGAGACAACAGGTTCCAGTCTCGGGAGTTGTCAGACCCCATCTCTCCATTCTGGCTTGTGGGCTGACTTCAGTGGGCTGAAGTCGGAACGATGTTCAGGTGGCCTTTCCTCCAGTCCCATCTCTGGAGTTGGATCAGTGTGGCAACTTTTCCAAGAATCCGTTTCCTTGGGCTGACTGCCTAGCCTTCGTCTCTCCTCTGCAGCTTCAAGGGCTCGCACCACATCTTCAAAAGGAGAATACCAGGTCTTGATAAGTTCTCCGGTATCCATTCCCACGGCTCCTTCTGTTATCTCCTCTTTCTCCTCCATCTTCGCTGATTCTTCTCACTGCCCAAACTTTAGGTCGGTACTGGGGCTCAGCACCCCAGACAACCCCCTTTTGGGGTGCTGGTAACTATTTAGAGATTCGGGTTAATGTCAGGGTTCCAGAAAAACCCAACTCCAATTAAAAACTTTGAGACAGGCATTTTCTCAAAGTTTCCTTTTATTAGAGTAGGTATACTGGCACATTTTTACTCTTTCAAATTGAAAGCAAGTTTTCCCTTAGTAATTCAAAAGTCAAAACCCAACCCCTGCACCCATCAGTCCATCACACGGTCCAATCACCAACCGTCCCAACTTGAGATATCCCTTCAACCACTCCTCCTCCAGGTGCAGGAATAACATGACCTTGACTGAAAAGAAGAATGCTATTATGTCTAACTACCAACACTCTAAAATTGCGCCCCTCCTACTTTCCCAGGCACAGGAATGTGGCAGCATGGAAGCTTCTGGTTCTAATATGGCTTCCAAAGCTGACAGGGACATGGCTTGGTCTAGGATGGTCACAGATTCCCAGTTGAAACTATGGTTAAGTCTGTCCATGTGTTGTGAAATTAAGGAGTTTTCATCATGTCTTCTGACTGTAAGCTGGTGTTCATGGATGTGTTCTGCCTGTTTGTTCTACATACTGGCTGCTGCAGTGCTTACACTGTATGTTCTAGAGGGCTCCTGTTTTTTCTTCTGGGCCTGCTGGGTCTTTTGGTTTACTTAGGATGTTTTGGAGGGCTTTCACTGCAGCCATCTTGCTGCAGCTGTCTTGCTGCAGGACAACTTGATGTGGCCAACTCACTGTGTGACAATTCAACAGGGAATAACTCAATTCGGGATAACTCAACACAAGATTACTGTTATCCACCACTGTCTCTTTGACATTGTTTTAATTTTTGTCATTCACATTTCATTTTGTCCCTCCTTTAGCATCCTTTCTTTAATGATTCTATTCCACTATTTCATCAATATAATTTTTTCAAGACAGGCACAGTGAGACAGCCATGGTGAGTTGTCCCATTCCGGTTCTGTATTGGGTTGAGTGGTCAGGCACTTTCTGATGAAGTTACACAGATATCCATAGGGAGCAAACCCCACTCTCTACTAGTTCTGATGTTACCTATTTGGTAATGAAACATCTGCAAGAAAACAACCAAGCTCAGAGAGCACCAAGGACCCCACATTTCAAATTTATGCTTTTCATTTATTTATAGCACTTCAGCTAGCATTCTTGGAGTATCAGAAATATCCAACAACCTGAACCCAGGTTTGATTTATTTATTAAATTTATAGACAGCCAAGCTTGCTGTTTGGTTTTATAACTTCTACTGAAGATTAGTTTAAGCAAGTGTGTTATAAGTCTAGATCTACATTGTTTTATTTTAAATATTAAAAACTCCAAATTCCGATGTTCCTTAAATAACTTGTTTTTCCATTTTCTAAAAACCCCTTTTTCTAAGTTTCTAGAAGTGATTCCAGTGCCATTTATTTTCCAAATTGTGTTAATTAGATCCACTTTGATAAATGTGGATAAATATAGTGATGATCAGCTTTTGGTAAGTAGTCATAAGTTATACACTAAATATTATTGTGCATAATATTATCACATAAATGTGATATCTGCACCTTTAATTTCCATGTTCTGATATGTTTTGATTCTACTCAATCAGATTACCTGAAATAAACACTTTAAAAAGGCCTGAAAGAAGGATGCCCTAGCTGAGCACTGAAACCATCTTTTATAAACAATGGTTGGCTCAGATACTGAAGAAAGCTAAACAAACACATGGGTTAATATGACATGAGAATCTGCTTAGTATTTTGCCACTGATTATACTATTAAATTCAAATTAACTTCAAATATTTCTACTTCTTTTTAGATCTTTCTGTTTTCAGTTGAGAAGCTTTCTGTCTTGTTTCTATAGAATACTTCTTTCTGAAATCTGCAGCAAGGAAACATACAACATACCCAACCTCAGTGGCCAATACTTAACCCTAAATTTCAATACCCACCTTCCTCTGCCTAAGCTGGGGGATGAATCTGAAGTGGTGGATTCTACTCGCCCGCTCCCTACTTCTCGCTTCATGTAGCTTGTAGTACTTTGCATCTGTGTTCTGTTCTGTCCTGGTTGTCTGGTTTGTGGGTTCCTAACACTGTTGATTAATCGGTCAGCAGAAAGATCGAATATTGTAGGACACTCTAGCAATCCAGTCCCTCTGTCTGCAGTAGAAATTGTATGCTGTAGATGTGATTTGCTCGGATTTCTGGGACAGGGAAAAATAAAAACCTTTCAGAGCTGTCATATGACATCTTTAGGGGGTGTATAGAATTGCATCAACGTGCACAGCTTATACTGGGGTCTAAGGCCAATTGATCACACTGTACTGCACCACCCTCTGTATTTCAAAGAATGCCTCTGGGGTGAGTAGCTGGCTCCAATCCAGAGCTGGTTCTGCAAGCATACCTCTCTGCACAGAGAAGTCTCAATGGTCATTTTGTAATGGAGCTCATAATGGACTATATATAAAAAAATTAATTACCTTTGCAGATAATCTCCAAATTTGCTTTGGTTCTTTCTCTTCTACACAAACATTTCTTTCTTTCCCTATTCCATTTTACCTGCATTTCTTGTTGTGTATACCTTCCTAAGAGACCATGGCCTTATCATCTTGAGAACTGTGACATTTTGTGATGGAATAATGCAGGGGTGGGATCCGACCGGTGTTAACTACTGGTTCGGTGATTTTGCGATTTGTTGCGCGCGTGTGTGGAACATCGTCAGCTATGCCGCCCGAACAGCTGAGCAGTGCTGTGCGCGGGCGCGCATTTTAAAAAGCACTATTTTCCTGCTTTTATAACCACAGCTGTGCCGCGCAAAGCAGCTGAGGTTGAAAAAGCAGGAAATAAAGGTCAGGTAAGAGCCTGGGCAGGCAGGTGGGCCAAAACAGCAGCAGACATAGAACCGGTTCTATGTCTGCTGCTCTTCAGAGCTTCCGGTTCTACAGAGACATACAGAACTGGTAGAATCCCACCCCTGGAATAATGTCCAAAATCCCTGAGAGATATGTGAGTTTATTTGCTCCAGGCATATTGCCCAGGTAGATAAAAATGTATTAACAGAACTTGCCTGTTTCTTGGAGAATACTGTCTAAGGGAAGTCAGGGGAGAAGCAGTTGGCTTGAAAGAAGGAGCTGTAAATCCATTGATAAATCCAGTATTTGGAAATGGTGTGACCTATGGAACAGATATACTTCAGATGTAGATTTGAAACTTTCAGTATAACCATAAAGTTCTGAAAACAGGACAATGGCTTCATTGGTTCACGTTACTTTTCCTCATGGTTTTTGACAGGAACATCATACTTTTGCTTAATGTTACTTACATTTGGCTCTTCTGGACAAAGATATGACAAAACATTTCATTATGCAATTTTACATCCGTTTTGTTTAGTACAGCTTAGTATAATGGATTTATAAAAATCAATACACATCAAGGACAAGGCGACACTCAGATTTACACTGGTAGTTCTAAAAATAAGGTCTTAATTGTATTTTTATTCAAGAATAGAAAGCAAGTTATATTACAGCATGATGCCTGGAATTTAAATCTATTTTATGTTGCATCCCAGATCCTATTTAAACAGAATGTTCTGAATTTGAATCATAGTACTAGGTCTAGTAATATAAATTGATCTCTAAAATAAGCTACTTTAGTAAATGCCCTGATGTCAATCTGAAAGAGGAAAGCACGGGTCTAAAAATTACACATTGCAAAGAGTGAAGGAATATACTGCAGAATTCAAGACTGTACCATCAGGTTTCAAGTACAGAGGGATTTCTAATTTCCCCATTAAAAGTTCCTTTTGTCTTGTTGATTACCATTGCTAAAAGGTTTTGCATAGGAGTTTTGGGTGCAGAGGAATAATACACATAATGGTTGTAAAACACAGTCCTCTAAGCTTCCTCTTCTTGGACATCCCAAAGGTGCTTTTTCAGGAGGCAACTGGACTTTCTTGTTTTTTCTTTGAAGATGTTTCGCTTCTCATCCAAGAAGCTTCTTCAGCTCTGACAGGATAGTGGGGAATGGAAGGATTTATATTCCTTACAGACAGCTGGTCATTTGCATCCTTTTAGAGGGTCATTGAAGCACTTGGAGGTTTATCTGTGTCCTCAAGGTCACCTGAGTAGTGTTCCTGGTACTTGTAGTCTGCAATTTTTTCTCTGTAAATTCATTCCTACTCCCAACACCATTCAAAGGGTGTTCCTTCCAAATTGTATGGCTAAAAGTCTGTAGAGATTCTCAGTCATCCAGAAGCTTGCAGACAGCTGGTCTGCAGACTTTTAGCCACACAATTTGGGATGAACACCCTTTGAAAGCTGTGGGAGTAGGAATTGATTTCCAGAGGAAAAAATTGCAGACTACAGGAACCAGCAGTGCTACTCAGGTGACCCTGAGGACACAGATAAATCTCCAAGTGCTTCAACGACTCTCTAAAACAGGGGTGTCAAACTTGCAGCCTGTGGGCCGGATGCATCACGTGCTGGCCACACCCACCCCTGGTTTAGCAAAGGGGGGAAAAGTCACAATACATAATGTGAAGATGTGATGCCCCTGCTCTAAAAGGATGCAAATGACCAGCTGTCTGCAAGGAATATAAATCCTCTCATTTCCCACTATGCTGTCAAAGCTGAAGAAGCTTCTTGGATGAGAAGTGAAACATCTTCAAAGAAAAAACAAGAAACTCCAGTTGCCTCCTGAAAAAGCACCTTTGGGACAACCATGACCTGGATGACTGAGGATCTCTACAGACTCTTCTTGGACAGTTCCCTCAAATCATCTGCAACAGCATAAACTTCAGACAAACAAACAAATTGTTCCCTAGTGCTTACCAGTGATGGATCAAGATAGCTGTGTGTTGTAGACCAAGTCTGTGGTGCAATCAAGCTATACAGTGGAAATTGCTGCTGGGGACTGTATAGTGGAGGTAAGTACAATGATGTTGTATAATGCTGTTCTGTGTAGATATTCATATCCAGAGGTCTGTATCCATTCTTTGGCAAAAATGTATTTATAGCTATTGCTTTTGCTTTTATTCTTGCCTATAAATGACAGATTACATTCTTAGAAGATGATGTTCAGAATGATCATAACTATAATTTGAAATCCCAAAATAACACATTTACCTTAATTGGTTTTCCTTGGAAAATTTTCACTTCTTCTCTAAGGTATCTGTAAGCCTTTAAGAGAAGCATTATACTTGTTTGAAACAGAGCAATCAAATTAGTGGGAACAAAAGAATTAATACCTTTCTACTTAAGAAAAGATGGTCACATGTAATTCAGGCTTACAAATAATATATTATAGCTTCCATGTTTGGAAACTTATCAATTTTGGTATGTTTACTTTGATCTGGCAATAACTACATACACTACATGCACAATTATTAGGCAAGTGAGTATTTTGACCACATCATTTTTATGCATATTTTCCACCTCCAAGCTGTATAAACTTGAATGCTTAGTGGATATAAGCATATCAGGTGATGTGTACTTGTGTAATGAGGGAGGGTGTGGCCTAAGGAGATCAACACACGATATCAAGGGGTGCATAATTATCAGGCAGCTTCTTTTCCTCAGGCAAAATGGGCCAAAAAAGAGATTTAACTGAATCTGAGGAGTCAAAAATTGTAAAAAAGTATTTCGGGGGGGAGGGCAGAGCTGGTGTCGCGGTGGTACTCTTGGACAGTCCCACCGGACCTAAACCATCCCGTAGAGACGGTGATCAATAAGGGCACGTCCTGCTGATCCCAGGGACACCACAAAGTCCCTGGTAGATCCAGGAGAAGCCCTTTTTGCTGGCAGCGGAGAGGTAGCCATTTACGCTGCTGAAGCTGGGACAGTTCCGGAATGGAAGAGATCAGAAGAAAGTGTGTCAGTTTGTTGAGATGAATTTTTACTTATTATTTTTTGGAGAGAACACCCTAAAAGACTTAAAGTAAAATCAAAAGTGAAGAGGTCAAGCGGTGAGATTAAGCTAGTTAAACTGAAGGGGTTTTTTCCCCTTTTTATTGAACTTGGAATTTGGCAAAGCTTCTCAATTTTAAACTGGACTGGTCTTTTTTAATTTTTAATTTTCTTTAACAATTTTCTTGAAAGTCTGTTTTAATTAAGACTCTTCTTTCTGATTTGAGATTTATTTCTTTCCCCTTTTTTAAAAAAAGTACTTTTTTTAAATCTGTTCCTGGCTTTGGATATATGAGGGGAAGTGAAAGTGAAGGAAAATAAGTAGCACTGCCATCTAGAGGCTTGGATATATTGTTTTCTTTTCTCTCTTACTTGTTTGTGTATTGGTGTTACATTCAAGGACTCTGAGCTTTTTACCGAAAAAGGTAGTGGGATGAGCATGGCAGATTGTTTATATAGGTGGTCATCTGTGAAACTATAGATAGTTGGAGTCTGAAGTTGAAGTTGAAAGAAAGAAGATTGAAGTGACCTTAAAAATACTGGAACTGGAAAGTCTGATTTGATTTACTAAAGAGTCTTGGATATTTAGTGGCAGTGGCTTGCTTTTTGTTAGAATTGCTTGCTATTCTTTTTTTTTTTTTACTTCCCCTCTAGCCGGATTTTTATGTTTGGATTTTAGCCTTTTAACCCAGGAACTAGACTATATTTTTCCTTTTGCTTCCTTTTTTATTAAGGGAAATACATAGACTATTATTTTTTAATTTTTTTTCTTCTTTCCCTTTATCCTTTTTTTTTTAAATCTTCTCTACTTTTTTACCTGTTCCCTTTTTCACATTTTTTCTTTTTTCCCCTTTTCTTTTTGCATATTACTGGAACCAATTGGATTAAGGTATACAAGTGCCTGAAGATTTTTCTCCTCCCTTTTTATTTTTTTGGAGTGGCAGCTGCTTGCTTTTGTTTTCTTTTTTTCTTTCTTTCTTTCTTTTTTTATTGCTAAGCATTACAAGATGAGTAGAAAGACAGCGGCCTCAGCTTCTTCAATACCAATAGCTTCCTCTTCACTATCCAAAGGACAACAATCAATACAGATGATGTTACAACAGGAGAAAGAGAAGGAAGTGACATTGCAGATGATTATGCAAGGAATCCAAAAGATTGAAAAGAGAACGGAGAATATTGAGCAAAGAACTGAAAAGACAGATGAGAAAGTAGAGAATATTCAACAGATGATGATGAAATATGAGGACAGATTTAAGAAAATTGAAGAACAAGATATACAAAGAGATAAGAAAATCAGAGATATTGATACTCGATTGAGTGAAGTTGAAAAGGGCAGGAGTGGTCCATTAGGATGGGAAATTGATAGATCAGAATTCTATCTGAGATTCCAAAATGTAGAAGAAGAAAAGGGTGAAAACCTTGCTGAAATAATGATAGAAATAGTGGCAGAAGCATTAGGGATAACCAAAGAGAAGATGATGGATGGGATGGATGAAGTGTTCCGTGTCTATACAAGATATGCAATGAGAAATAAGTTACCAAGAGAAGTTCACATCAGATTTACTAAGAAAATTATTAAAACACAGATACTGCAGATGGCAACAGAAAAAACATTAAAGTACAAAGATAAAGAAATTGTGGTGCTGAAACGGGTACCAAGAAGAGCAAGAGAGATGAGAAGAGAATATTTATTTTTGACTAAAGAGTTACTTAAAAGAGGAGTACATTACAGATGGTTGATACCACAAGGTCTCTTGTTCACCTGGCAGGAACAAAGACACAGAATTGACACAGTCGAAAGAGTGGAGCTATTCTATTTAGAATATCTTACAGGACAGGAGGAAGACACAAGAAAAGAAAAGTCACTAATTGAATTTCAAGAGGAATGTATAGCAGTAATTGAAAAAGAAAAAGAAGAAGGTGCAGTAGGTGGTGTACCCAGAGAGCAACGAGAACTAAGATCTACTAGAGCAACAAAACCCTCCTACAAAGCCTAATATGGATGAAAGAAAATTGATTACGATTAACATAAATGGACTGAAATTTAGTTACTAAAAGAAGAAAAGTATTTCATAAATTAGAGAAATTAAAGTTTGATATAATCTGCCTACAAGAAGTACATATTAAAAAACAACATGAATATATATTGAAACAAAAAAAAAATAGGAAAATTATTTACGTTGTTGACACAATGTAAAAAAAGAGGTGTGGTCTTATATATTAGAGATACAATTCCGGCAGAACCAATCTACGCAGATGATGATGGAAGGATTTTGATGGTGGAAATAATGGATAATAATGTAAAAACACTTTTAATAGCAATTTATGCTCCAAATGATAACCAAGAAGAATTCTACAGGAAATTACATATGAAAATAATTGAACTGGACTATGTTAATATTTGTATGATGGGAGATTTCAATGGAATAATTAATGATCAATTGGATTATAAAACACAGAAATCAACAAAGAAAATTAGAAAGACACAACCAAAATCCTTCTTTCGAATGATAGAGGAAATAAACTTAAAAGATGCATGGAGAGAGAGACATGTGGAAAATAATATACTTTTTATTCAAACAGACATTCATCATGGTCTAGAATAGATATGATATGGATGTCAGCAGAACTACTTTCTAATATACGAGAAATTGAAATAGAAACAAGTACTTGGGCAGACCACAACCCAATGACAGTTACATGGAAAGGACAAAAGAGGAGATCTAGATGGGCCTTAAATAATACGATATTGAAGGAAAAAGACTTTAAACAGAAAATGGAGAGAGAATTGGTTTTCTTTTGTAAAGAAAATAAAAAAGAGGATACACCTCTACAAAACCACTGGGACACGATGAAGGCCTACACAAGAGGCTTGATAATAGATTATACAAGGAAAAGAAATATAAAACAGAAAAAGACTTTCAAAATACTGGAAGATGACTATAAGAGACTGGAAAAAGAATTACAGAAGTTTCCGCAAAAAAAAAAAAGACATTAAAATTAAAATGGACATAACTAAACATAAAATGGAAAAAGAGGAATTAGCACAAAAAATTAAAAATGCTAAACAGAATTACTTTGAAGATGCAAACAAACCCTAGCCTATAAATTGAGAAAGGAAAGAGAATCAAGAAGGATTAGTCAGTTAATAGATGAAGGAGGACATGTTTGCTATGGAAATGAGGAGAAGAAAAAAATTATAGAACATTTTTATGGAAAACTGTATTATCAAGAGAATATTCAAGAAGAAAAAATTAAGCAATATTTACAGAAAGTGAAGTTACCCCAGATACCCAAAGATCTTGAAACAATGTTAGAAGGGAACATAACGATGATGGAATTAACCGAAGCCTTAAAAAAACAGAATACTGGAAAAGCACCAGGTCCAGATGGCTTACCAGCAGAATTTTACAAGACTTTCCAGGAAATACTGAATCTTCAACTTTTAGAAGTCATGAATGAAGTTATGTCAAAGAAGAGAATACCCAAAACATGGTCAAAAGCATATATTACATTTATACCAAAGGAAGACACAGACCCGCAGCAAGTTAAAAACTATAGACCTATATCCCTATTCAGACTATAAAATTTTTGCTTCAATCTTGGCAGAAAGACTGAAAAGATACTTAAATAATTTTATCCATGCTGATCAAAATGGATTTCTGCCAAAGAGACAAATTAAAGACAATATGAGAATAATTCTGGATACTTTGGAATACTATGAGGCACATCCTGAAAAGCAAATGGCCTTGATGTTTTTAGATGCAGAAAAAGCCTTTGATAATGTGAGTTGGCGATTTATGTTATTGCAACTGGTACAAATGGGTTTTGGTAAAAAAATTTATTCAAGCCATTGAAACGATATATCATAAACAAACTGCAAAGGTTATGATAAATGGAGAATTAACAGTCTATAGATATAAGAAAAGGGACTAGACAAGGTTGCCCACTGTCGCCTCTGCTGTTTGTGTTAACATTGGAAGTGTTGAATAGGAATATTAGAGAAGAAAAAGAAATAAAAGGAATGAAAATTAAAAAGGAAGAGTATAAGTTGTAAGCTTTTGCAGATGACCTGGTATTTATATTAGAGGATCCATTGGAAACAGCACCTAAATTAATAGAAAAGATAGAAGAATATGGAAAAGTAGCAGGTTTGAAAATAAATAAAGATAAAACAAAGATATTAACAAAGAATATGTTAGCAAGACGAAAGAAAGAGTTGGAAGAAGTTTTAGAAATACAGGTCACAAATAAGGTCAAATATTTAGGGATAT